ACAAGGGCACTCACTTTTCTTCGACTTTTTTGATGTCCAAATCCACTGTGTGTATGATCCATTTCACTAATTGGAAATGTAGACTTGCATGGAATAAAACTAAAGCACTATATTCTCCAATTCACTGTCAGCAATAAACATGGTAAAGAAGTGGCCATGGAGGGAGGCATCCTAGAATGCCTCCGCACACCTCACAGCCCTTAACACTTTCTTGCACTTGTTTATCTGCCTGTCTGGCTCCCTTACCAGAGCCTCAGGGACAGGAGGCCTCACTACCTCGGACATCACAGAGCTCAGACTGTAGGTAGGCCTGGGGGTTCAGCCTTGGTGCCTTCCTCTGTCAAACAGGGGTAACAGTCCTACCTTCCTCAAGGGTTAGTAGGAGGACCGCATGAGTTAAATGCTGATAAGACACTTGGAACACTGCCTGGAACAAGCAAGATGCTATTTAAGAGTTTGTCAAATTTACATCAACATTTGCAGAATAAAAGGTTTTATTTTAAAAGCAAAGGCCTGGTCACACTTTAGGCAGTCTTCTAATTAAGCTCTCTGAATTCTGAATAGTTAAGACTATCTTCCAATAAGAGCCACTTGTTCAGCTTCTCACAAGGAGGAGAGATTATGGCCTTCCTGGTTATGTTCCAGAGAAAACACCACAAAATACCTGAGTTCAGGACAGTTTAGAAACAAACTATGTTTTCTCTTAAGGCCTCATATTTTTGCATACATACTGTCCTTAAAAAAAAAAAAATCCCTAGACATGGACAAGTTTTCTTCTTAAGAATTTAAATGATAGCCCTTAGGTACTCACTAGAACATATGGGGCCAAATGTTTTTCATGTTTTCACATGCAGTATTTTATGCGATCCTTACCAAATTGTTCTAAAGCCGTGCAAGCAATGACTGCTCCTACCTACACCTGAGAAAACCATGATCCCATGACTGGTAAGAAGTGGCAGATCTAGGAATTTTATGACCAAATGTTCTTACTGTAACAGGTAGTCATGGATCAGTTGACTGTTCCAAAACAAAGAAACCAAATATTTTTATAAACTACTGAAATGAACAACTGTTTAGACTGGCTCTGGAACACAATTAAATGCTATTATCTCTCATAATGAAACCTTGCCACCCAATTGTTTCTGACCTAGTTTAAGACAATGAGTCACTACCTATGCAAAACAGACCAAAGATAAATCACAGGTGATTAAGACCTAAATGTACTAAAAACAAAACAAAGAAAGAAACAAACAAAAATTCACCAACAGACAATATCCTCAGTACCCCGGGGTCCCACTGGCCTTAGAAGAAACAAAGGTTCCACAACTCAATAAAACCAATCGCCCAGTTCTAAAATATGCATCAGTGGGTGGGAAGAATCTAGTTCACAGTCCTAAGGAAACTGTTCTAATAACTTGTTTAGTTTTCTACCTGTCAGGCCTCTAGGAGGTAGGGGACTGTTTAGCCTTAAAAAACTAGATGAATCTTAACCACTGATCCATTTACTTTTTCTGAATTAATCATTTAACATAAATGTTACCATGAAATCATAAACAAGAGAAAATGTTTAATAAAGAAATTTACTCTTACAAGTGATTCACATTGACTACTTCAAGAGTTGAGAAGAAAGCTACAAGGGGTATGCTTTGAAACTAGATGCCTGAATGTGATACTTTGGGGGTCGGGGAAGACAATATTAAAAGCAATCATGTGGGAGTCCAGGGAAGGTGATTCTACACCTCAAATTAAACTCTTCAATAACACATAAGCAACTGTAAACAAGAGAAACAGGGCTTCATGTCTGCATTATTGCTTGGTGCAAAAGGCAAACATCCCCTTCACATTTAGAATAATTTAATTATATAGGGTATTTTAGATAAAAAATTTAGCCTTAGATGACTTCAAGTGGCTCTGATTGTAACTAACGCTAAAATTTCAAGATATTTTAATAAAACTATAATAATTCAAGTTATTGCTTCCAGAATGAAAAAGGACATAGAAAAAAAATCCTGTCAGAAATCAAAAAAGTACAGATATGGACAATATATATATTTAAAGAAAGGAAAAAAGATGACAAGTAAAGACGGGCAACTGTTAAAAATGAATAAAACCCTGGTTATCTGAAGGACAACGCACTCAGAAAACACCACACATTACTTTTAAGTTGTAGATTTGGTGTCTTGTTTGAAAAACAATCCCACTGCAAATTATCTTGCAACCTTTGTCCAGAAGCCACAGTCTGTCTGAACCTTCACCTTCACCTATAGCTTTAGAATAAAGATGACTCAGTGACAAATAACGTGGCTTTCAGAGGATCCAACCCACAACTGCGTTCTTCATACTGCCTCTGGCAGCCCATTTAAACACCAGAAAGATCAAATCCAGTTTAAATTTAAAACACTCACGTCAACAGCAAAGTACAGAACGTGTGTGGTACGCTAGCATTTTTCTAAGAATGGGGGAAAAATACATGTGTGGAAGTGGTTCGCATATGCTGGAAAAAGGTCTCTGGAAGAATTAACAAGAAACTATTGATAGTAGCTTGTCTTTTTAAGGGGGTAGGATGGCAGTGGGGAAAACAGAAACTGAGGTTAGGAGATTTCCCATGTCTATCTCTGTATACTTTTTGAAGTTTCTATCATGTATTGAATTACCCAATCAAGAAAATTAATTTAAAACCCATTAATCTAAAGACCTCATGTTTGGAAGCATCTAGCATGCTATTACGCAGGTGATCCAAATGGAAAGGTGACTGGGCTATTTTAACAATATATTTTACAGCTTTGAGAAAACTTGTCTTGAAGATTTGAAACTATCATATTGGACTTGGCAGTAAGTCTCTCATCTGTCTTTCCAGATCAAGACTCAAGCAGGGGCCAAGTCACACATGTCAATAAAGCCCATTAGAAGGAGAGGCTTTTAAGAAAACAATTCCTTTACCTCAGCAAACAGTCACAGAAAGAAAGCCTTCATCAGATTACAGTCAACAACTCCATAAAACATTAGTTTACCTGACAAGAAAATAATTCCCTACCAATTAAAAACCAAGCAAACAACCCCTGTTTGCATTAGACTAGAGGAAAATGAGAGGATCTGATAAGAGCTCATTTCTTTGAACTAGCCATCAAGAATGGGAATCAGGATACTTGGTTTCTATTCTTCTTTTCTTTCAGATGGTCTCAATCTGTCATCCAGGCTGAATTGCAGTGGTGTGAACATGGCTTACTGCAGCCTCAGCCTCCTGGGATCAAGTGATCCTCTTGCCTCAGTTTCCTTTGTAGCTGGGATTATAGGTGCATGCTAATGTCCAGCTAATTTTTTAATCTTTTTGTAAACACGGGGTCTCACTGTGTTGCCCAGGCTAGTCTCAAACGCCTAGGCTCAAGCAATCCTCCCTTCTTGGCCTCCCAAAATGCTAGGACTATAGGCGTGAGCCACTAACCCAGGCCAGTTTCTAATTTTAGGGATAGAACTAAAGATTTTAAAGATCTCTTCCAGCTGTAGGATTCTTGGACACTAATTCTCATGACTGTTTCCAAGACAACTAATGTAACCACCAAACCGCTAAGGAATAAAGTAAGGTGCTCCCTTACATTAAAAAAACACAAAAGTAAAAAACTTAACTGTTAAAGCAAAAAATGCAAAATGATCCAGAAACGGAAACGAGGATGGAAGTCGGAAGACATTTCCCTTGTTTTACCTTTCTAACATTTTGACATGTTGTAAGCCAAAGTGTTATTTTCAGCAATAAATTCCTTTGAACAATTTTAAATTAATTAATTAATTGATTTTTTTTTTTTTTTTTTTTTTGAGATGGTGTCTCACTCTGCCGCCCAGGCTGGAGTGCAGTGGCGCAATCTTGGCTCACTACAACCTCCGCCTTCAGAGTTCAAGCCATTCTCCTGCCTTAGCCTCCCAAGTAGCTGAGATTTCAGGCATGTGCCATCATGCCTGGCTAATTTTTGTATTTTTGGTAGAGACGGGGTTTCACCATGTTGGTCAGGCTATTTTTCAACTCCTGACCTCAGGTGATCTGCCCACCTCAGCCTCCCAAAGTGCTGGGATTGTAGGAGTGAGCCACTGTGCTGGGCCTAAAATAGAATCTTAACTATTGAAAGCAGTTGTTTGGGG